AGGCCACACAGGTTTAAACGCTGGCTCTGTTACTACACAGCTGTATGACCTTGAACAAGTCACCACATTTTTCTAAGCCACAGTATCTTCAACCACAAAGTGGAAATGACAACAGCACACCTGCCTCACAGGACTGTTGGGAGAATTCAATGAATTGATGCATATTAATTACTTAGAATGGTGCCTGGCTCTTAYGCCCGTGAGTTTTTTTCTTTTAATTATAAACCTATAGCATACTATACATAAAAAATTATATATATCAATTATAATTATATAATCACATATATTAATTGAGCAGAGATTAAATACACATTGTTGAATTTTGAAAATAAACAGAATACTATATGTGGCATTCCATATATATAGGGTTCTAACTATTTATGTTTCTAAGGCAAATAAACTATCGATTTTTTGATGGAAATACATGGACACAGACAGACATATGGAGGAAAAGATTTGGAAAAGAGACTAGAATTAGAAGCAGAGATCCACAGGACTTTAGCTTTCTCTGATTGTAGGCAGGCAGGCAGTCAGGCAGGTGCATACAGAGGGGTGGATGGATACATACACACCTGGACATATTCAGATAATACTGGAAACTTTAAAAGTATAGATTTTAAAAAAAAATTGTCTGAGGCAGTACAAAGCGTGAGTGGCCTTTTATCAACGAGGAGCTTAAAGGTGTCCAACATGCCTGAGCACACAGAGCCAATGGGCCCRGAGGAAGGATCTGAGCCCAGCGCTGCCCTCCCCCGTGGCCTTTCCACCACCCCACACCGCCTCCCAAGGCCACCCAGGAGTTGACTATGACAAAGAAGAAGGGGCCTCCTTGTCCACACTGGCTGCAATGGTAAAAGCCAAACGCAATGGAGAATTGTGTTGTTGTTTTTGTTTTTAATTAATGAACCTGTTGGAATGTGCCATTCAGCAGTGGGGCTGAATGGTTCCTGCTGTTCTGCAAATCAAACACAACTCTTTCCCCCAAGCCACTTCCGTGGCCACGCTCTAGCCTTATCTGTCCAGRGAGTGGGAAAGGGACACAGAACGGTCAGAGAGGCGCCTTCACCAGCYGGACCGGGTCTCCTGACCCCTCACTGGCTTGGCTGCCCCATCCCAAGGACCGGGCAGTGGAGCCCTGGCCGGACCTGCCGTGGGCAGCGTCTCTGAAGCCCTGGATGTGCTGTCTCTGCTAGCCTTACCCCCCCAGATCTCAGAGACCACGCAAGTCTCTTTGACTCTGGCTGGAGAGATTTAAAGGTCTTTTCCAGTTCCAACAGCCACAGAACATTACAAATTTCCCTGTTGTTTTTCTATTATAAAATTCTAAGTTTTCCTTCCCTAAGGATGATGTTTAATTAAAATCTATGCCCTTTGGGGTTGCCTTCAAATCTTTTTTAGGAAAAGTCCCCAAATCCAGAATCCTTGCAAAGGGGGTGGAGAGCAGGACTTGTGCTTATGAAGCAAAATTCTCTTTCTACTGCCCCTCCCCCCGCCACCTCTGTCTATTACATCTCCATCCTCGGGGGCATCACCTGCCTTATAGTACCAAGGGTCAAGGAAGGTGGAAGTTTTTGAAGATTGGCATACTAAGAATGAACTTCAGCCTTCCCATTGAATAGCTGGGTGGCTCTGGACAAGCACAACCCCTCTTAGCCTCAGTATTTTCCATCTGAAAAATGGGCACACTCTGTATTCTTAAGATGGCTGGGGGGATGGATGAGAGCATCTGCAGGGGTCCTTCGTTTCTCCAGACCCATAGCAGCCCTGTTCCCACAATTCCCAAGATGTTGAGAGTCTGGGCTGCCCCACTCCCACCAAGTGCCTGGCTCCTCTCCAAAGTCCGATCCTTCAGTCACCAAGCCCAGCTCGGAGGCAGAATCGMGTATCAGAGGGAGAGGCAAGGGACCTGGTTCCTTTCACACGGCTTCTTGGCTAAAACCACACCTCAGATCTGATCCTGAAGGAATCCGCTGGCAACGCCCCTGTCAAAATAGTTCATAGATACCTAGGGCCACCCTCCAGAGCTGGCAGCAGACCCCAAGCCGAGCCCCACTCCCGATTTCCCACGAGCTCAGAGCAGGCCCCTGACGGTCCACCTCACAGCATGGCCGCTCCTTGCAAAGGGGGCGGAGAGCAGGGCTTGTGCTTCTGAAGCAAAATTCTCTTTCTACTGCCCCCCCACCTCTGCAGAAAACACACACACACACACACACACACACACACACACACACACTCTCCGACTTTCAGAAAGCTCTTGGCACTGCCCACCCTTCCTGAGCTGGACGGCGCTGCCAGAGCAGGATCTGCCCAGCCAAGGCTGCCGCCTCCATTCCCAGCCCCCTCCCGGCCCCTTGAGAGTCAAGGTTTTGTCAAGAGTTTCAGGGGCACTGACTGGTGGGGAGGGGGCCGCAGACATCCTGGCTGGTGCCAAGTCCTTTCTTCGCCCCGCAGTGTGTTTTATAAGCCAGCATGTAGTTTATTCTTCTCCTAAACACTTTGGTAGGGTACAGGGCCCGGAGTTGCCATAGAAACACCTTTTAACTCCTGCTCACCCAGAAGGCTGCAGCTGTCTCCTGGGCTTTGGCAGAAGAAAGGAAAAAAGAGAGACACCTGTGGTTTCAGAGACAGGGAAGGCCATGAGGGTGCCGGCAGGAGAGAGGGCCCAGCCTTGGTGCCCTTCCCTGGCAACGCGGCATCCAGCCAGGAGCAGAAAACAACCGGGAAGGTTCTGGAAGAGGGCGGTGGAAGGTTGGCCTGATGCCCTCGGTGGGCTAGGGCATCCATTAGTGGGGCTGCAGGGGTCAAGGCAATGGCCAGATCCCTCCCGCTTCCCTTCAGGGAGAGAACCCAGCACTTCCACCCAGAACAGCAGTGAGCAGGGCCGTTGGGAGCCACCTACTGGACAGTGGAGGGGCAGGGTGCGCTGGAGGCGGCAGGAGGTCAACAAGCAAGCAGCCCACACCCACACCTCCCATTTTTAAAAGCATTATCTCATCGCTCCTCCAGTGCAGTGCGCCAAACCCAGGCAGCGCGAGTTTGGATCGGCGCCAGAGCATCAAAGATTTTTCATTTCTTTTTTTTATTTTCGCTACTTCAATGTTCTGGTTGGAGGGCACTTCTTGGTAACTCGGCTTTTCTCTGGGAAGTTTAATCAAGGAGGAGGAAGGAGCTATTTCTTGAGTAAATCCAGAGAAATGACAAGAAACACTGTCCGCATCGGCCCAGACCTCCAGCAGGAACCCCAAGTGGAAAATGAAGCCATCAACGAGGTCCAGGGGGCTCCCCCCCCCACTTGGAAGCAGGATCCGCTGGCTCCTGTTCCCACTTCTCCCTGGTCAACTTCCAGGGTAGAAACCTCAAAGCAAAGGGCAAGTGGAAGAGACAAAGTCCCCGCCTCCCCACACACACCAAAACAACCCCGCTGAGCACACCCCACCGGTCCTGAAGCAGAAAGGGACTTCGCCCAATGTCTGCACACCCCATCCCACCTGCTGGACTCCTGGCCCCAGTGTGCTCCCTACTGAGCAAACCCAGGACTGAGCGGCAGCTCAGGCGGAATGTCACCAGGCCAAGTAGGATTGGGGTAGGGGCACTCAGGGAGGAGGGAGAAATCCTTCCCAGGGCTTAGGCAGCCCAAAGAATCTTTCCAAGCAATTCGCAAAGCCAGGGGCCAGCCAGGGTCCCCCAGGGAGAGGACCTGCCGGCCTGTGGGTCCCGGGAAACTTCTACCCTGGGGTCACCCAAACACCCTCAGCTGCCAACTGGTCCAACTTTCTGGTCACCAGAGCCACCCCTGCCTTCTCCTAGACCTGGCCTGGCCCACCAAGCAGAGCCCCTCCCAGCCTCAGCTGGTTCTCCTGCCAGGCTCCTGCCCCCTCCCCGCCCCACCGCGACACACTGGTGGAGTCCCTCACCCAAGACCCAGTGGAAAATTTCCTTCCCCTTTATGACTGTACTTAAAACACACATACTCCATTCTTCACCTCTGAATCGACACAAGCAGAGAGCGGCTAGACCATGTCCCACCCACCGTCCAGGCGTGTACACACACACACACACACACACACACGCTCAGAGCAGAACGCTGGTCCGCATGCTTTAGGAGCTGGAGGATGGACGGAAGGGATGTTTTCCAGCTGCCACTCCACCTCTGGCCCTCCAAACCAGTGTGACCAACAGCCCCAAACAAGTTCTTCCAGGACTCTGGAGGCCTTTCATAAAAACTGGTTGTGCTTCTGACCCAGTCTCTGTCTCTCTCATCAAGACACAAAGTCCAGTTTAGAACTGTCACAACTACAGTGGGACCTTTGGCATTATTTTCTTTGGGTGACAAATCTATTTTCCACTGGTCCTCATAGCCCTCCCCACAGCATTCAAGGGGGGGGGGAGCTTCCTGTGAATTTTCACAGTTATGTGATAAGTGATCCCTTGCACACCATCTCCTGCTTGCTATCAGTACTCCACAAATACAGTCTAGGGGGAGGGTCAATCCCACAATTTTCTCCTTATTTTTCTCCTTAAATCCACCCAAACTTGGCAGTGCAAGAAGCTCCCTTAGCACTTGCTTGGAAAGCCTTAGTCTGGGTTGGGTCCCGGGGAAAAGAATGAACTTCAAGGGCGCAGATGATGCAAACTCCGAAAACTCCCAAGTTTCTCCTGCAACTCTCCATGCACATGGCTAGCAACTTCTTTTAAAAAGTACTCAACATCACATCGCAGCACTTCACTCAGCATTCCAAGTTTTGGGAACCCTCTCCCACCCTCCGCCCCCAGCTCTTCCTCCTCCAGGGGTGAGTGGGGAAATTTTCCAGGTGTCAAAAAGAGCCAGCAGAGAATCTCTGGCCCTAAACGAGCAAAAGGCTGCTAGGGGGACGCTCGGCCGCGGGGAGCTTCCTCTGCTGGGCATCTCCGCCTTCTGCTKCGCCCGCGAGCCCCCCGCCCGAAGAAACCGGATCTCTGGCTGCAGCGTGGGGCTCGTGCGGAACCCCACGAGCTCTTACCGATGTCGGAGTTGCAGAAGGCGTCCTGGGGGTGGCTGGGCGAGCATGTGCACGCCTCGGCACCCCACTCCCCCAGGCTCCAGCTGCCCAGGAGCACCACGAGCCCAAGCCAGGGAGTCATCGCCGCTGCTGCCGTCCGCTGCGGGGACTGCTGCGCGCCTCTCCAAAGTTGCCGTGCGCGCCGCCGGCGGGGCTGCTGCGGCCCGAGCTCGCCCGACCRGCCGTGCGGGGCAACTTTGCGCTGCCCTTGGAGTGCCCAGCGGGACAGGCTGGGGTGTGGCGAGGCGCTGGACTCTGCTGGCCGGCGGGAGGTCTGGGGCGAAGGAGCGGGAGCCGGAGCCGGAGCCGGAGGAGGACCTTGCACACCCGCTGTTGGCCCGCTGCTCGCGCCGCTGCGGCCGGGGCTGCCCAGGGATATAGCGCGGCCGCCGGGACCCCCCCCTCGCCGCGGGCGCTCGGGCCCGCCCCCTCCGACCAATGGCAGCGCCGCATTACCTCATCGGCCCTAAAAAGGGGGCGGGGCCGGGGGCGCGGGGCCGCCCCGGACCGTTCAGATCCTTATAGGGAATAATGCGGCCTTGGGCACGCGAGTGGGTGGGCTGGGGCGCGCCCGGGACCCGCGCTGGCTGCCTGGCCCCCGAACGGCGCCCCCGTGTCCCCTGTAACCTACACCCTCTTGCCACGCCCACTCCTCCCTCTGAGCGCCTCGCACCCAAACTAGAGCCAACTACCACTCACCCACCCCAGTACAACCCCTTCCGAGGAGCAGAGGTGGCCCCCGCCCTGGAGTCCTTGACCGGACCTGGTGGAAAGTCTAGGGAGAAATGCTTCCTCTCCACTTTCTCTGGAAAGAGCAGGGAGAGAGGAGACAGGCCCAGACAGATGACATCTTTGCTCTATGTGTATCTGTCTTTCTCTTTCTCTCTCTGTTCCTTTCCCAAACCCTTTTCCCACCCTCTCTTTTACTTTCCTGGATATGGGGAAGTCCTCTGCCATTGAGAAGCTAGCTATGAAAGGTGGTTGCTTATCTGAGCTCCCTCCCAGCAAATGGAGTAGTGAATTCACTCAACAAACCCTGTGCTGGATGCTGGTGTAAGAAAGGCAGAAGGCCCGGCAGCCGTGGAAATCTAGGAGTGCACATAGGGTCATTTTCTATGGCTCTAATGCTATGAAGAAACCAAAGCAGTGTCGTGGGTTAGAATGACCTGAAGGGTGCTGCATTCCATAGGAGGGGAAGAGAAGGACTCTGAGAAGTGAGCAAGAAGCATCAGTCCTGTGGCAGCCAGCAGGAGAGGGCGCCAGGCAGGGAGAGCAGGTGCAAAAGCCCTGAGCTGCTTTCAAGAGCAGAAAGGAGAAAGGGCCTGAGGAAGTAGTAGCTCCGTGCATGGCAGACTGGTCTCCATCTTTCAGCAAGGAATTTTGAAGTGAAACTGATCCAAAACTGGAGTAAAACCAGATCCTGGAGAATTACCCAGGATTTCAGATGACTGACTCTACTGGATAATTGGAAATAACAAATATAATTACCATCCTACCTTTAACTAACTTCTTGACTCTGCTATGTATTTTTAAAAGTGGGGTTCCATAGTCACCCCGGTATATCTCACAATAATCCTGGCACACAGGAAAATAAGCACAAGCATCATTTTTGCTTTGTGGATGCAGATAGGAGCCCAGAAAGGTGGGATGACTTGGCAACCAGCCAGGAGCTAAGCTCCCCTGTTTTTGCTGACGTTTAAGACGTTTATGCCCTCCACTTGGGCGGAAGTTAGATCCAGCTGTGCAAATGCCCTTTTGCAACTAGGGCCTTCCAKCCTCCTAGACTTTCGTCACTCTCCCCTCTTCTTCTTGTTTAGAATGAAACTTGTCCATTGGGACCCTAGAAATCTGAATGTTTAAAGGATTGGGAGAATTGCAAGTTACTCTTTATGAGAACTGCCTTGGTTTTCCCCTCAAAGAAGGGATATAGGATGTCGGCAGAGGAAAGTGTGGTGGGAGATGGTATTTCCAAGAACATTTTAAAACTCTTTTTTTTTTTCTACCCTTAAACATTTTGGCACAGGGCAGGGAAAAGAGTTTCCACATCTTTCTGTCTTGTTCCCCACCCAGCTCTTAGGACCTTCTCATGGGATACTGTTGAATTATTTCCCCCTCCACCCTAGAAATACTTGGAGGACAGGGGTATTTCCCCCACACGACTTTTTAGCCCTCTGAGAACAAAGTAAATTCTCAGGAGACTTGAGTATGTGACCAGCAGCCCTCTGAGTCTTGAGCAATGGGCACCCTGGGGCCACTCTGGGGAACCAGGTTGAACGAGGACATAGTTGGGGGATTTAAGAGATTCACTTAAACTCTCATGGTGCCAGTCATGTGGAAGGTTTTAGAAGACTTTCCGGACCAAATCCACTTTGGATAAGCATCTTACGTGATAGAGGCCCTCTCTTCTCTTTCTTTTCACATTCAGTTATGTTCAAAGTGCCAATATTTTCTCCAAGGGAATGCCTTGCCCGGAACACAAGTATCAGGGAGATGACTTCGGCTGAACACCATGAGATAGATTCCTCACGGAAACCATYCAAAACGTTGGATTCCAGCAGCTACATAATCATGAAAGTGCAAACATGATCTGATTATTTCTGTAGCTAAAAGGTAATGAGATTGCCTTTGGGGTTTTTACCTGTCACTGTCTTTCCTAATCTAGTCCAAATGGCATATTTTGTTTTGGAGTTCAGAGACTGTAAGGMCTTTTCAGGTGGGAAACTCTGCCATGTATCCAAGCTGAGGTGGTGCCTTTCTCCCCACCCCTGGGAAGCCAGCTGGGTCCTCACCCTGAGAAAGAGCAAACCCTCTGGGTCCTGGTAGGTCCCTCCATCGGGCAGGCGTCCCAGCCATCCAGCAGGATGTCATGGTGTCCCTGGGTCTGATAAGACGTAAGAATTGCTTTTTCAAGTTCACTGCATAACCTAGATACAGTGAACCCGGAGCTAATGGTAGAAATGGAGACACCAGGTCTCCTGCTTTCTTTTGACAGCGAAGAACAATGACAGATTTTTAAATCTGGAATGAAACGAAGACGTTTTAATATCCACCTGGCCTGTCCTCAAATTTCTGAGGCTGAACACCCCCGATGTATCAAATTACAGGATATTGGAGTCTATAGGGAGTGTTTTCTTGGACATGGAAAGGTCATGAAAAGAACCTCAGAGACTGCCCATCCTCACTTCATAGGTAAGAAAAGAAAGGTTCCGACAGGTGAAGGAACTTGCCCAGAGACTCACAGTCAGCTATCAGCATAGCCAAGAGTGTATTGCAGCCACCACCGATTCCTTATCTGCCTCCCTCCATCACATTCATGGGCTCAGCCCTCCTACCTAGAGCATGGGACCTAGTGCTTGCACTCTGACCTGGAAAACTCCAGCCATTCGCAGATCCTGGATTTGCGTTTCTGACCTGTAGGCAAATCTGTTTCAGAGTCTCTTCAAAGAGTGCCCAGCTCCTGGAGAACTTCTACCCACGCTTACTAAACAGCCCTCTGTTATGATAATAGACTCTCCTTGTGAGAACCCTGGGAGCCAATCATTACAAGAATAGTGCTTCATTATTATTATTATTATTAAGAGGTTTATTTCTGAGGCCTTCGCCTTTTCCCTTTCTCAATTACTATCAGATGCCTTATGAAAACATTCGGGAGTATACCTTTGAGAAGAGATGCATGAGCACTTTTCTGGGGGATAAAAGGAGACCAGGGTAGAAAATAAATCCAGATCTGAAATCTGTTGTGAGCACAGCCGTGGAACAACCAGGCACTTGCCCCTTGGATAAGGCACCCTACCTGACCGGTCCTCAACTTCCAGGTTTATCTGGCAAAAGATGTAAGCGAATGGTCCTCAAGGTGGTCCTTGGCTCAGAAAGGCTACAGACCCATAGGGAATTCCCAGGGACACAGTGAATGTTTCTGAAGGAAAGATCTTGCACTTAAGCAAGTTGGACACAGAGCCAATGTATCCAAGACRGAAGGACATCCATCCGTATCACAGTCGACGCTGTTGAGTTCCCGTCTCGCTCTCTCCTAGATAGAAAAGCCCATCTCTCTGCCTCTTGGACTCTAAGTATTAAAATGTCAGGAGACAAGTCCTGCTGACTCCAGAGTTCATGGGACTGTGGCACGTCCTTCATAGCCTTTGTTTCCTTCTTTTACAGCATTTAGCTGCCTCTGATATGTGTGCTCACCTGTTTCCCTTCCTGGACTGGAAGCCCCTTGAGGACAGGGGTCAGTGTTGGTAACACAGAGTTTATTAAGTGTGGGTGGAATAGATCCAGTACTGTGGCCGATCCCTGGGCAGGTGGCAGTCCTTGGAGGCTCCCTGAGCCTTATCCCTCAGGCCGGTGCTAGGGGGCGCTGTAAGCCAGAGAACACCCCGCGGCTGCCTGCAGTCTCACCAGGAAGACAGGCACCATTCCACGTGGTGTGTGGGTGCGGGTGCCTCTGAGTGGGCGAAGCTGACCCCTCCCGTCTGCAGTGGTCACGGAGCACTCGGTCAACATCCCGTCAGGGTCTGCAGCTGCCCGAGCTCCTCCACCCCTGTGCCGGCCACATGTCCACCCAAGGGCTGGAAGCTTTCTCGGGAAGCGACCCACTTGTGAATCACTAGTTTGGGGCCCCGTGGGGGTGGTCTGGGAACACCGCAGAGGATGCCACGGTCCCACTCTTCCAGAACAGAGCTGGGTTCTGGAAATGYGACCGGGGGAAGGTGCTGACAGGACGTGGCCCATCTCTGGTGCCTCCCAGGGAAGCACCCTGGGCTCCCTCCCCCTCCCCCTCAGACCCCAGCCGCAGTGCCTTCCCCCAACCCACAGCCCATGTGRAAATCATTATATTCAAAATAGCCTTTTCCAAGCAGCAGACAGCCTGGTCCACCCATCCCCATGAGCCCTGGCCAGACCCTCAGCAGGGCTGCTGCCCAGCTCTGGGCAATCATGAACCTAGGATGGCAGGTTCCTCTGTGTCGGGCACCAGCAGCGGGTAAACACCTTTCCTTGCTTCTATGTGGCAGTCGAATTGCAGGGTGCCTCTCGCCCCAGCTCTCCCTCAGCTCTGCTGGGGAAGCAAAGACCCCTCTGCAAGAGTCTCTGGCTGCCTTCACGTGAATCTGGGGTTTTCATGTTTCTTTCCACAGGGAGCTACTCCCAGGAATTTTAAGCCAGAAAACACATGTGTGCAATAGAGACCTTCTGTGTCTCCTGTTGTCTGGGACGGCGGGAGATGGGAAGCGGCGTTAAATATTGCAGCTCTTCCTTTTTTGCTGTTTTTCTTTTCTTTTTAATGACCGTGGGCTCAGGCAGTGGACAGTTTCTGTGAAGGATAATATGAAGTGGAAGAAAAAAAATAATATCTAT